ACTTAAAAATCCGCGATGCAACGCAAAACGTATGCATATATATATATATATGTGTGTGTGTGTGTGTGTGTATAGCTGCTGCAGGTTACCTATCCAGGGCGTGGCGAAAAGGTCGCGAATATCGATCGGCTAGCGATTTACCAAACGACGCTCGCAGCCGACGCTATACTTACCTACCGTCGTCGCCACGAATCTTCAGTTTTTTGGACCTACATCATTCGACTAAAATCTACTTTACGCATGTAGTATGTATTCGAACACTGCAACTTTGCATTCATTTGTATGTTTAAGTTCCCTTTAAAAGCTAGTTCTGAAAATTGTTTTTAATTATTTTTTTTTTAAATTTAATTGGCAATTCGTTTTTCCCTTTTATAGATATAGAAGACAAAAATACACGTTGTACGTACACTATATAGCTACATCGATTAAAATCGTCAAACATCTTTTTGCCACCATAAATAACTGCTGTTGTGGTGAAACGATGAAAATAGCGGTTTAGTTGTAGGTACTTACTTTAGATTAATATATATATTATGTAAACGTATAAATATATATGTATAGGCACTCATCGCCGCATTAGCGATAAATCTCATTACATGTATAAGTGATACTTCGTGTAAATGCATAACACACGGATTTTCGTGACTTGCGCTTAAAACGACGCTTATTATGAAAAGAGGCTTAAGCGCCTTAGTGTTATACATATTATATACTTGTTGATATCCACCCTGCATGTAATGGTTATGATATATATAATATTATTTATAGACTTATAGTGAATGTATTAGATACTCGCCGCGTTTACTTGATAAATATTTAATATAGCATATACAAATTATTTACTGCAAGTTTGCAACAGTATTCTATATTATATATATATATAGGTAAGTACTATTACTGATGAAGTATAACAACAAAGTTGTTGATATGTAGCTTATATAGTAGTAAATATATATATACCTAACCTATAGCAACTATACTATTGTAAATATTGATAATTATTCATATGTGTATCATGATCAATTTTAAACTAATGTCGATAACCGCGGTGACATTATATGTTTATTAAATTCAAGAGCATGGATTTAATGAACTAAAAAACCTAATATAACACATAAAAATCTTGAAAAAAAAAAAATGAATATATTATTAATTATGACAATTGACGTAAACCTCCATATTGAACGTATAAAATATTTTATGAGACAAAAAAAAACCATAAAGTGATATGTGCAGTGAAAAGTTTTAGTTGACAGAAATTATTAAAAATAATATCAATAAATATAATTTTATAGGCATATAATTATATGTAAATAGTATATATATAGTATATATATATAATTTATGAAATTATGGGACGTTTATGTATGTGAAACGTATTTTTTTGCGTTTTGTTGGTATGTATATACATATGTACGAGTAAACTTATAAGGGGCGAAGGGGTAGAGTCATTCACGGAGTGTCAACGGACTGAAAGCGATGTATTGGCACACATTACACACATACAACACACACCACACACACCCGCTTACACATGGATAATAAAATGCGAAACTGGTATTATATAGTATAGGTGAAACGAAATGAAATAAAAGTCGTCGTCGATTGTCTCTATGGAAGAAGTATGTGTGTATATGTGCTATTAGTATATTACCGAAACACACGCCACGCGGAGACGACGGCGACGGAATCGGATTGACGTATGAAAGCGCCGGGCGGTCCCCAGATAACAATTGCCTTCATGTCATCGCCGCCCAGGAGTCGCGCGGGGGACCGTCCGCGCGATTTGTGTGCATATATGTTATTACTGCGCCAATGACTTCCGGTAGCCCCGACATCCGGCCCCAACGGATTTTCGTTGTTCTACATTAATACACACACACATATACATAAAATATATATAAGTACATATTATACACAACGCATCGGTAGCGGTGTTGGTCCACGAGAATAAACGACCGATTGTAATTTATATTATTACGTTTAGTTCTTGTATGTGTGTGTATACTATAGTGGATCATATATTTATATATATATATAAATACATAATATATTATAAAAGCAAGTGACGGTGGCCCTCAATTATTGACCGGACACGTTGTCGTCGTGGGAAAGGAAAATGCGTGAATTTGTTCCCTTTAATAATATCGCAACTCGCAAGCTATATTATAAATATATATATATGTATATAAAAAAAAAAGATATAATGTATATTAATATACTCTTATGCACTATACCATAGGTACCTATATTATTATTTTTTTGGTGGTATATACTTATATACACATAATTTAAGCTTATTTTGGACAGCCCACTTAAATTATAGTTGGCAAATATAATATTTATTATAAATAGGTATAGACAGTCTGCAGTAGCAGTCGCATTTTCAACTACTAAAGATTTTTGTATGACATCGTATTATATAGACATGTTCTATTGCATACATAATAATTATGTAATGTAAGTGTTAAAGCTTATTATACATTTTTGATGTTGTATGAGGGGATAAAGTATATATAAGGGCAATGTCAAAAAATATATATATATTTATATTATACTCCCGCATTACGAGTATATAGTAGGTATATAATATTGTATAATAAATAAATACACACATATATATATATATTATAGAAGTGTAGAATACCGGTTATATACTCATAAATATACACATAATAAGTTTATATGTTTATATTATGTATAACCATGTGACCCATTTGATTTGCCTTCTTCTAAATATACTGAAATAATGTATAATATATAATTACAGTAGGTATATTAAAGAGCTTGTAAAAATAGTGTTATTATAAGTATACTTTTATTATAAAATATACATAATTATATACACACTGTATAAATAAAACATTGAATAGTATATATATATTAATAATCTAAAACATCTAAGCATATAATATTAAATATTTTTACAGTTATATAAAATAGTATTTTTTAATTTGATGAATCGCGTAGGTATATAACGAGAGTGATTGTATTTCATAAATTTAAGTACCTATAAATAATTACCTATTGGCTATTTATAGGTACTTATATTTTATAGTACCTACACGCATAATATAAACAATAATATTATATTGTACCCAATAATGACATTTGACTGTTTACAGTTACATTTTAGGTACCTAGATATAATAGGTAATACCCATTGATGGAAATGTATATAATATTATACGCATCTTAATATTTTGGGGTCGTATGAAATTTGACAGTAAATAGTTACATCATAAATATAACCTACGTTACACTTCATATTATTTATGTATAGGTAATAGTTAAATTGTATTTAAAAAACGTGACAGCTATTAAATGTTGATATATATCATATAGCGGTATGTGTATATAATAAAGCAGTGCTATGTAACGAGGGCTAAATGTTATGTTTTGATAAACTACTTAAAAATTGACTTATTGTTTCATGAGGTTAAAAAGTATAATAGTCGAAATAATATTGTTTATATATGCAGTTATAAAAGTTTTCATAACCATAAAAAATTATCATCAATATATATACACTACATATTTATACATACACAATTATTATATACACACACAAACATTATTCAGCACTATACATAGTTGTCAACAAAGTATGTTTTTTGATAATAATAAAGGTATAGTCTATACAGAAAAACTTTGAATGCGTATGTAATAACATGTAGGCTCGGTTTATAATATCGCGTTTTAACAGAATGTAGATATAAATTTTTTCGAATTCGTTTTGAAGTTTCACGTACATATTTTGTATAATATTTTTCTGTTTTGTACTCATAATAACATACACAATATTTTTATATTTTTGTAGAAAAACCACTTGTTTGATACTTCATTACGTTTTATATATGTAAGTGCTAAAGTGCATACCTACCTATAAATTGTGTAGATGTATTGTTAATACGCAACTATATAGTTATACGTTTATACCAATTTGCAGAAAACGTATCTAATATTATATAATATTAATCAAATGTATTATATTAATTTGAAATATTATGTAATACAATATTTTTTTAATATTGAAAAAAGAAAAAGAGGAAACTACTGAAAACCACCCACCTGAAGAACTCTCACATAACCCATATATTATACCGTTGAGTTGGTATAATAATATATAATACATATAGAAAATAATGTATAGTAAAATCGACGACCGCAATAATAAACACAAAGCAAAGTAATTAAAAACTCTAAGACAAAAAATAAAAATAAAAAACGTTCACAGCGGTGTATACTTATGAATAGTACCTATATATACAAGTAGGTAATACTCGTTATAATTATAGTATATATAAATATACGGTGCAGAATCTTATAATTTTTATGTATACATCGGCATATTATAATATAGGTATAGGAAGTACCTATAGAGTAACATATTAATTTATATCAGATTGCGGAATTAAAGGCATTAAATATATAACAAGGTGGTATATAAAATTAATTAAAAGCGTAAAAAGGAAATCCGACTCGCGGCCGGCCGGCGCGGTGAAGACATCCCCGTCGACGCGGCGGAACGGTCGAGCGGCCGGAGTCGGCGTGCGAAGGGATGAGGGCGGCCGCCGCGGATGACCGCGCGCGTCGGCGATGAGCGACGATGAGCGCCGTTGATGAGCGGTGGCGGCGGTGGCGGCTTCGACGACTACGACGATGACGACAACGGCGACGAAGACCGCCGCCGCGGTGGTGGGGAATCGCCGATTGCAGCTGGCAGGGTGCCGGCCCCGCCCACGATCTCTGGAACCGACTCCGCCCATCAGTCACTCACGCACACGTACGCCGCCGCCGCCTCGCTAACGGTGTGTGCACGGCGGCGGGAACGTCCGGCCCGCTCCCCGAAGGAAGCGCGTGCGTGCGCATTCAGCACTCTCACCGCCTCAGCCAACCTATCCCACCCCGCCGCACCATCGTCGGCGCAAACCCCGGGACAGCTTCGGCATCGTCGATCTCGTGGCCCGGCCGCCGCGGCAGTCAACAGTCCGATCGCGACGATCCGGTTCGGTGCGGTCTGGTGAACGCTGCGCTCATCCATCCGTCGCTATCGTCATTCGTCGTCGTCGCGTAGTCGTCACGGACGGTTGATCTGTTATACACACATGATCATATCGGTTTTTAATTTTTTTATTTTTATCGTCGAGAATACACCGCGGTATGTTTTTTAACGACCCATCGTAATTTTATTTATTTACACTGCACTATTATATTATTATTATTATTATTTTATCACTTTTCGCGCGTCGATCTATTCTACTTGTCGACATATATGTACATGACGACGTACTAGGCATATAAACGATCTTGTTTTGAACACCGCGCATAATTCGATTTAGTTCGATAATTGAATATTTCTTATACGATTTTTCCGACGCACATCTCCTCGGATCGGACGTGAGTTATTTGTTTTTTCGTTTTGGAGTGACATCAAAAGTTTATCGCCTGCATACCCTTGGAACCAGCATTCGTGTATGACTCGACTTCCCCCCACCCAATCCACGTCGACATGAGTAGAGGTGAGTCTTATAATTTATATTAATATTTAATCTAAATATCAGTATATTTCTGCAAAATCTCATGCAAAATATTATAATATATTCGTTAAGTATGTTTTTATATTATGTAACTACGATGTATTATCACGAGTACATCATAATAATGATAATGAATACTACATCAATGCATCTATTATTAGTCAGGTACCTACATGGATTTTTAATGTAAAATTATTAGTATTACACATGGCTTTTGTATCATGTGCCATTAATATAAATAATATTTATTTTTATTTTCGACAAAACACTAATATATAAATATACATATATCGATTTGTTATGATATCTAATAATTTATCATCGACGTCTCGTAACGATTTAGTTATTTTATATTATGCTTATTACTTGTTGATTTTATCATTGATTATTTTAATAGTGTTATATATAGATTTAATTACTGTTATTCTTCAATTAGTTAAATTAATACTATATATAATAATAATGTATTATATAGACGTAATAGCGAACATCATTAAATGTTAAATTTAAAATTTAGTATTAAAATTAAACATATCATATGTTATGTTATATTATATTATTATTTATATGAAACGTATTTATAATATGGTTATTACTTATTAGTTATTAGTTATTAATATTGTTCATACCTGAGTATTCAAAGCTCGTATATAATATTATCTAGGTCTGTTAGTGGCACTCCAAGTAGATAGAATCTAATATTATATTTTAGGTTTTTTTTCATATGAATTATCAGTGTAAACTTAACATTTGTACGGTCATTCCGTACGAAGAATTGTGTGATAAATGTCTAAATAGACAATTAGGATTTCTAAAATGATACAATTTATATCCGTACTGCCCGTATAGATTTGCTGCAGACGACCCGTGTTCGGGGTAATTATATTATTGGCTATTGTAATAGATAGAATAATCAAATTCCTGTACTTCCGGTGCACTAAAATAAATTTTAATATAATATTATATTATAATCACTGAAATAATAATTTCACACGATGTAACATTATACTTAGATTTATTAGAACATGAAATTTAAGTAAATATAAATTAGTCCTCATATCTTTATACAGTTGTCTGCTAATCCCATATAATATAATATATTATAGTATATTATACTATTTACAGTCTAAAACTATTAAGTGCATCAGTATATTTATAAAATATATAGATAGGTTTCATTTTTTTAATAATAATAACTAGATAGTAAAAGAAGGGAGGAATTATTAAGTTTTAAAAATAATATTCTTACATAGTTGTGAGATAAAAATAAAAATAAAAATCATATATATTTATAATCAAAAATAATTATTTAAAATATCTAGAAAAAAACTATAAATAATTAATTTTATTGAATTGGATATCATATATCCATACCCGCATGTGCTTATTTAAAATGTAAAGATTATGTTTTAGAGCTCTATCTATGTTTTTTTTTTATGTTATAATTCAAGTCAACACGATTATTCAAAAATAGTACTTATTCTGTAAATCGTATTTAGAAAAAAGTTCTGCTAGTATATAATATCAGCCTTACATTATAACCCTGCAAATCCCCAATATTATGTTTATATGTTATATTATTGACATTCGTTGTGTGAAAAATCTTTTCTGAATATGTAGTTGGATCAAATTTTACGTTAGACCGTATAAATAACGCGTGAAGAATAATACGTGATACATATTGTAGTAAAAAAAAATATATAATATATAATACTTGACAATTTTTTTTACCGCTTACTTATATTTTTGGGGAGTATAATATCTATACACCGTGAAACCTCGATACGTATGTCTCAATAATATAATAGTCCCCTAGCACATGCGATTTATACGATTGCGACGGTTCTTACAGACTGAACAGGTTTACATGAGACAATTTTACGTACGTATACACGCTACCACAAACATGGTCCCCTCGTGCGTAACGGACGCGGACTGTAAAGATCCGTCAAAATATTGAAAATACCAATTCATGCGGGAGACGATAGGAAAGTATAAAAATCAACATTTTAAAAATAATTACCCTGTGTATTAGCCACGGGGAGCAAAGTCCAAATGCGCGCTTTAAAAACGTCAAAACTACATTATAATATCGTGACATTTCGTGATAATTCAAAATAAGCTATAATGCATTTTCGATTCGACAATTAATTTTATCGTCTATAATTTTTATATATTATCATTGATTTTATAAAAGTTAACTATAAATCAATGATATTATATTTTACACATACTAGTTATTATATAATTATAATGTGGTAGGTATAATATGTACATTCGCTTTTCCTGCTCACAGTCCAATGGCCTCATTGAAAATACGCTTAGCGTTTCAAATCAAATGCCATCCCATTCGTTAATTTATATAAAAATTAATCTATTTATTATTTTTATTGTTTTTTCTATTTATTGCTCTTGTTTACATGCAAAAATTATTACACATGTAATATATCAATGTTTATCATAGTATTATATTGTTTAATTGAGTTATAAACTTCTAATAAATAAATATTATCATGTGCTCATAATATAATATATTATACACAATAACATCATATAGATATACATCATATTATGTCGATTATATTATATACAATATGCATATGAAAATATGTAAATGTATAAATTATGTATGCAAGACAGTATGTTTCTGTAAAATTTAAATCGAGTTAATAACTACGAGTGCCTACAGATTTTATGTGTTGTAAAATCGCTTGTGTTTATATTATTGCTATTTAACAAAAATGATATTGCAAGTTTTATATGTTGAAGTATATATTAGAATAATACACATTAAGTCTATATAGGCGCAGTAGGCTGACAGATTGGCACATTGAGTAAATCTATATAATCGTTTCAGCATTACACTATATTTAATATTTATTATTTTTACTATCATTAATTATTACGTGAATACTTTACCGGTGATCAAAGGAATAATAATAGGTAAATTTCCTCATATTGGTTCGATTACTTAGAAATAACCACGATAACGTTTGTACGATCGATTACTATTATATATAATATATTTATATTTATATATATGTGTGTGTGTTTTTTTTTCCAAAGTATTTCCATTCATCGTGTTACTCGGTTCCCATTGAACACTCGTTTCGCGTACTGCTATTATACACGAACATACCTATATTATTTAATAGAATATAATAACAATATTATATTACCGTATAGCTATATTAAACGAGCTAAAACGCCATTAACGAGCCTGACTTTTTATTATTATACGGTAACCTAGTTGTCGTTACGATAATAATCACTGTAATTATATAGTTATCGGGACAATGCAATGTTTATGTGTTATGTGTATTATGTACATTTGGATACGATATACGTAGCGTGTTCAGCATCTTTAAGTTCGCGGTATTGTTGTGATTCTGTTGATTCCAATAAATATAAACAATTTTGATAACTCATATCGTAATTTAGTCATCGAATGCGTCATGAAACCGTAAGTTAAAAAAAAAATAACTAATGTTGTTTTACGCACCGCGATTTGTAAGGGTTTTTAATTATTATTTCCAAACCTCGAACTATTATTCAATATTACTACATATCCATTATAGTATATATATAATATATAGCATGATAAAGTAAAAAATACCATCTTTTGTATTATTATATATCACCTAAAATAATCTAAATAAATTTTTAAATACCTATACTCATTAAAATGTAGAAGACAAAATAATGCATAACTAATATATTTTATTTGTTTAATAATTACAGTTATAAGTGACTTTTATTACGCGAGTATAAACGTATATATTATTCAAATGATTATAGAAGTTTAAGATAATTGAAGATTAATATTATAATAATACGTTTTTGAGGATTTTATTTTATTTTTTAATGAAATTTCATAAGTCTATAAAAATCATATACTTATTACATATCTTACGGTTTTTGAAAAAACACTCAACTTATTAGTTCTCAGTGCAATATTTATTTTATTTTTTGTTTTGACTGGATCTCAAAGCTGCCGAGTGCTCGAGTAGTGATAAGAAAGAAATCCTACACGATTAGACAAGGGACAGACGGTGTTTGCCTCTTTTAATCTCGAATGGTGTCCAAACATCATGTCCTAGGGGATTTGGCTGTAAAAAAAAAAAAAAAAATGAAAACAAAACAATATCCCTTACTTTGACCTCGTAGTACAATCTTTGAAACCGCAAAAGAGTGTTATTAAACAACGTCGTCAACGAGTTGTTGATCCTAAGGCAATAAATCGGCGCGGGGATGATTTGTACAAATATTTGTACTGTCGACCTTGAATGTGTTATACAGAAACTCCGAGATAGAGATTGCCGTCATTTATGATGTCTTGTAAAGACCTAACCACGAGCTGCGTGTGCACAACGACTGTATTGCGTCCAAAATAAAAACGGTTATAAGAATACTAAATTTTAATACGTATGTAATATGATACAGATGTCTAAACCAAAGTAGCAGTAATATATATGTATATAACTTTCTCAAAATTCCAGGTACACATTTCGTTATTTAAAAGTTCTCTTTTCATAACCTTTAGCAATTATCGTTGTATTTCGTTTGTTACAATAAAAAATAATATTACATTACAATTTATAATACATTGAATACATTTTATTTTATTCACTTTTATGTTTTTATAAACACTACCAGCTTTAATGCGTCCCTCAATGTTTGTCACGTGCATACCATGAAATTCTACGGTTTTTACATGACGTTTACGTCACGTGTACGCATTTATAGATAGATAGTGTGTGAATAGTGAGAAACGTATTTGGAAGTAATTATTGTGAATTTTTTTCGTAAAAATATTCTCTCAAATGTTCATTATATTAACTTGTTATATGAATTAAGTTATAATTATGCTTTACAAATATTACATAAATAATATAACATAATGTGGTTTGATGTCAGGGTTATGGATGTAATGATGTTTTTAATCATTCAAAAATTACACGTTTCATAGTTTCTTGTAAAAACACGCATATTTCTCGAGAATATATACATATATTTTGATTGAATCCTATTAAAATATCGGTTAACACAGTTTGCCCACGATTAATGTAAATTTTGTAAATTCGCAGAATTTTCCAGAAATACAATACCCGCAAGTGCATATAAAATGATATATTAATAGGTATATTATTTAATCGATAAATCTATTTATATGTTCACGATGTTTGCTGTTTAGACATTCGATCTGCCGCGGTATCAGCATTTAATATTATGTAAAATATTAATACAAGGGCATATTATACTTTTATGTATTATATAAAATGTAGATATTATACTACGAATTTAACGCTAGAATTAATTAAATCCTTCGATGTATAATATATTTATTAAAAAATGCTCTCAATATTCAACAATATACTTTGAGAAAAACGAGTCCTAATTTTTTAAATTAAATATTATGTTTCATTTAAATATTATTATTGATTGCCATGTATGCTGCTTCACATACAATAATTATACATAGGAGATTATTAAAATAAAAAACTGAATACATTTTTAGGAAAACTTAAAATGGCTCAGATGTAAAAAATAAAATTATATATCATTATTTCAATATTATTTTAGTCAAAATTAAAATTTTTAATCAGTCAAGTAATATCGATTTTATAAAAAAAAAAGGCCAAAGGTACTTAGGTATATCACAATTATATAATGTTTTAGCCTTATAAATGTATTATTCACATTACTTCTATTATTAGAGGCACTTCGTGCGTGTTGCGTGCATGTGTGTTTATCGGAAAAGATTTTAACGAACTATAATTGTTTTCGCAGGCAGTAGCGACGATGGAGGTGGCGGTGGTGGCGACACAGACGCCGGTCGAAGCGACGATGAGCGTTCGCTGTCCAGTGAGAGTAGCGGCGTTGGCGGCGTCGACATCGGCGACGGTTGCCGAAGCCGTAGCAGTAGCGCAAATAGCAATAATAACAACGGAAAAAAAGACACGATCGCGACTGTCGACGAAGGTGTTGGCATCATCGGCGCGGGTTTAAACAGTAGTTTTAGCTTTTTCGAGCTTCCTGCCAACGCAGCTGCTATGCCCTACAACTTAGAGTTGCGGAACGCTGGTGCGGGCGGCGTATGGACCAAGACCCAGCTTTCCAAAGGCGTCAAGTACGGACCGTTCCTGGGTAAATGGGGCCCGAAGCCGGTGGATTTGCGGTTTGCTTGGGAGGTGAGTAAAGTGCAAAGTACATTATATAATTAACAATAATTTACCGCTTTATATTGGAGAAAAAAAATAAAAAATCGTTTCTTTCGCATTAGCTTGTTGTCGGTAACCGTATATTATTACACAAGTAATTTCGATGCCACCCTTTATATTTTTCGTCTTCTTCTTTTCCTTTTCTCGCTCGCGCGTCTGCCTAAACCTATTGATATATATATATGTAGGTAAATAACAGTAAACACCATCGAGCGCGGGACGAGAGGGAATTCGATGTATTATATTTGTATATATATATATTATATAACTGTAGAAGTGTGATAAATATTGTGAAAAAAATAAATATGCTAGATCTCGGAAACGCGCGCCGCCAACGGAAACTATCGCCGCAGCTCGGGCACGCACAAAAGGTGCGAAGCGACAAAAAAAGAAACGTCACACTCTGACAGTTGTCGGAGGGACGAATCAACGGATATAATATAATGTCGCCGAGGTGTCGGATGACCCCGCAGGGGATCTCTGCGAGATTAGCTTCACATCACAGTCACACACACACACACACACACATATCCATATAAACGTATAACCGATATAATATATTATATATATTTATATATTATACTCGCGAATATAATGTGTGTACGTGTATAATAAGATACGTGCGAACACCTCGTCGAGATGAATATATATATTATATAAGCCGTGTATAGGCCGCCCCCGTTTGCAGTTCACCCCGACTTGGTGATCGCGCACGCCCGAGTAAAAGAGAGAGTTTAAGTATAAAACCTCCGATTGTTGTCAGTTCGATCCCTTTTCAATAATACAAATACATAGCTACTAGTCGCGTTCTACCGCTAGCTGTTCAGAGGTCTGTTTTCCTCGCGCAGATATAACCGATATACCTACTATACGCGCAAAACAATTGATAAAATACCATCTATAGGAATATTTCCACGAGTCCTTTATATTGTATAGTCGACGTTCGTTTTTTTTTTTTTCTTGATATTATGTGACGTGCAGCGTCGTGTAGGTACACGATATTGTTTTATTATACATATTGCATACTAGCCTCTCCTCTCTTTCGTCCAACCTAAAAAACTACAACTTAGGTATATAAGTACTACCCGTCTGTAGTTATTATTGTTTTTTTCTCTAGTTGATGTAAATACAAAGCACTAATACGGTTTAAAATCATATTTCACAATCATATTATATTGCAGTTCAAAAATCGAAATAGGTTGTCTGCAGGGTGCAAACGCTGTACGCATATACGACGAGACACCCCGTACTGATTATTATATGTATAAACGACGTATATACGCGTTGTACGTGTTGTCATTGTGCAGATGATTTTCGACGAGCACTCTCCTCGTTTTTGGTTCATTAAAATTTGTCCGCCCGGTCAACCGGAAAATTCGCCGCCGCCGTCACCTATGTGTTCGTCGGTGGCTTGTAATGCCTGTATGTGTGCAGCGCTTATAACATTTATATTATTATTATCACCGCCACAGGGCATTGAGCCGCGCGGATAATACGCGTACGCTGTATACATTATATAATGTGCCGCCGGTAGTAGGAGGAATCTATCCATATGTATACGTATATATATACATTCACACAATATATTCACATTATTTGGCCAGGCACACACATACAATCCGCGACCGCCTAATGTCCGCGAACTCATTGTCCCCATGGCCGAGGTGTGAACTGATCGAATTTTATGGTCGGTATCATCTGCCCCCGGCGGGCGGTCCGGGTTTACACTGAAGTCCGCGCGACGAGCACGACTACTGCGACTATATTATATACACTGGTACACATACGCTTATTATATTCTGCCTGGGCGCGCATCGATAATAATAATAATAATAATAATATAATATTGTATATCACGGTGAAATCCCCGCGATAATCTATGTTATTATGCTGCGGCGTTCGCTCGGATGCAAGAATGTCGAGAGATAATTTCTTGACGCGATTTTCGGTGTACCTCCATACGGATTGTCCCGAGGTATGCTCACGCTGCTGCGGCAGTATACATAACACGGAATTATAATGTATGTATATGCACACACGCTGTATTCTCACATAATCGCACCTGTTTATACACGCGCATGCATATATACGTGTATACACACACGACAACGGCGCGTATATAGACGACAAGACGAGACGCTAAACCGCTGCCCCGGAGAGTAAACCTACCCGAGTATTCCTTTCCACCGCACCGCCGCCCAATCAACCCTCTTTCCCGCGACCCGCCAACATACGACGGCGGCGCTCGAGGATAACAACACAACTCTACAATAATAATAATAATCACGTGTGTCTTTTACCTGGTTACGGGCACATTATTATCACACATTTCATCGTCGTCCCCTCGAATACCCGCGACGTGTACGGTCGACGACGCTAAATAGAACGCCAAAAACGCGTTGTTATCGCGTCACGCGCACGAACGCCGATCTCGCGCACGCTTGCTTGATTGCTTACTCGACTTAACAGGTATACATGGTTAGTTTACCGTAGACAGATCGTTAGGTGAATAATAAAATGTGTTGTATTGTACAATGTGTACAAGTTACGTACAGACAACAGCGTTCATTTATCGCTAAATCGAGTGTCGCGCGGACAACCGAACACGGTTTAACAAAACACGACAATGCGCTCTTCGTTTATTATTATATCACTGCAGAATACTGAAATATGGTTTTTCATCTCTTTACGTTCTTTACGCGTATTTATTACATCCGAAAATCGTAATTCGATTGCCCGTCTAGTTGCAAGTAAGTGCACTTGATACAAGTGCAGGCTTATACGTGTAACATAATAGTATAATACTCTACATTTTAAAATGTGTTAAAAACTAAAAACACAAATAGGTCATGTTACTGTGTAAACGTTAACACCCTCCGTTGTTCAAACGCTTTGTATGATTGTTAATCATCATTCATAACGGTTTCGAAATCTTTGTTATTTGTTATTATCTTTGCTCTGCAATTTATAGTCGCAATGATCATAGTCCGTGTTTATTTTGCTCAGCTGTGTTGTAAATACAAAATTTTATGTTGTTCGTTTTCAAGTGGCACTCTCGTCGGCGCACGATTACTGCCGAGCACGTAAATCTATTGCACGCTATTTTCGTTTCACACTCGACGAGGTGTATAGTTCCCTTATAAATGTATTTTTAGATCGATTAGTATTCACAAATACAACAAATTCAATGCATCTATAATATTTATACATACCAATTAATATTATATCACGAAGTTTAATATTTTCGAGATATTACTGAGACATGGGATACTGTAGAGTTGTAAGTCTTCTGATCACGTGGTAACGGATAGAGCAAAATCCCTTTTCGATTAATTTTCCGGACCGAGACGTAAGCGTATATACAACGGCGGCGGCGGTATCGGTGGTTTTATACTTCTTTACACATGCAATTCAAAATTAGTTTGTTTTTCTATGCATAGGTGTATAATAATATCATATTATGTACGACGATGACGACGAGACATCGTAGCAATAGCAGCAGCGCGATGTTGGGTCGGCGGCGGGTAGGTGGGTTGCCGGGTATACGTGTGCGCCCTGCGCGCGAGCGCGTTACGCACGCAGCAATAATGGTTTTTCATCAATCAAAGTATATAGTATAATATCGTACTCGGCGGCGGATATTGCCTCAGCGTCATCTGTTATCAGCATTCACACATCTGTAAAAACCATTCGGAGCGTGATGTTATCCGCGGGCCCGGAATGATTTCGTGAAAAATCGGCGTGTATATATATGTGTGTATGTGTTGGTGTATGCGTGTACAGGCGTTATTTATTAAAATCGTGAGGGTTTTTACCATTTGTGGAGGCGACGTGGCACCATTCATCTCAATCATTTCCGCGGAGGAATTCACGCGCGTGGAGGCTGTTGCGTCGTTGCTGATTTGTCAGTTAAACGTAACGGAAAACTCTCGCGGTGGCGGCAGTATAGCGTCGATTTGGCTAAGGTTTTTTCTCCTCTTCCGCCGAATGCACTTGCCCCTCACTTCACCCACACCTTCTGCCACAAACCCTCTCCGTGTACCGAGAAACTGGAAGAAAATATTGTTTTAATAATATCCAATCTGTGCGTGCGAAAATCCTGACAATAGTCCCCGCAGTATATAGCTCTGCGAGTTATGTGTATTGTATAATATGTAGGTATACGGATTTTTATATATATATATATATATATATATTGGGATTTATATCTCTATCCGCCGCAAAAAAAAAAAAATAGATGTTATATACGCTTTTTCTGAAATATCAAAAACTCTAAAGATTTTTGCATGTCATTTTCGACTAAACATAAAATACATCGAATTCGGCGAACAATCGATTTCATTCCGAACGAGAAATATTTCGTGTTTGATGTTTTTGACTTTGGTTTTTCGTTTTGGCAGTTTGGCGTTTTTTGTGGGTACACTTTGCTTGCTTTTCTTTCTCTGTTTTTACTACTTCTATTATATACTTTATCGTTAAACGATTTATTTATAAAATTTATAAGGGTTGTGTGGAAAATTCGAGCAAAACGTTGACTGCAGGCTGTTTGAAACTGACCGCAAGTATATAAAATAATATCATGTTTTCCCTGTGTTAGTTGAGGTTGGTAAAATATATAACCACGCCTTTATAACCGCACGCGAGACGAAAGATCCGGTGCCAGCGTTTGGCTAATTGGACAAGACCCGCCAACCAAGCTCCGCCTTTTCAAACTTCATCGGAGCGGAAAAACGATTCGTTTTCCGTCTCGAGTGGTCTTGGAAAAAGAGAGCAGAAGTCGGTTGTTTTTTTTCTGTTTGTTTGCCTGAGACCTGACGACCGGAAAAACAGTTCAAGCTGACGACCGGAGGGAGAGCAAGAAATTCGGGGTTGGTTGATAATTTGAGTGTCTCATACCTAGTGCAGGAGACCCCCAATCAGAGTCCTTATTATATATTTTATTTATTCCATTTTGCATAATAAATCGTGAA